AACTTGATGCAAAGCGACTTCAGAGACACAAAAAGACCAGAAGTAGACGTAAAACTACAGCAAAGACTTAAATTGACGAGATACACCAACACAACAGGTAAGAAATGTCCAAAAAGAGACAAAACCAACAGAAGAAGCAAAGAAAGAACGACAAAGAGGCATCAGGGACGTAGAACAACACAATGAGACGCAAGACGACCAGAAAGAGACGTTTGAAAATGACCAAAAACAGTTGGAAAAAGGACTGAAATGAGAAAAATGTTCTACCAAAGAGACTCGAACCACATCTGTGTTGTCAGTTTGTGTTGTCTGAACACAAGCTGAGGACACACTGATCACTCTGCCACCAGCTGAGTGTCCGATCATCTCAGTAAACACAAAAGAACCCGACAGAACCCGGTTCCAGAGCTACGAACGCCTCGGTTAAATCTGATCATCACAAACCTGACGGGGCTCTGACCTCCTGCTGCGTCCTCTCAGGGGACCCTCGGACCACGTGTTGGATCCCGGCAGGATGGCGGGTGAGCGGTCGGGCCTCCGGGTTCTGCTCGGCGCTCGGTCTGATCCGGTCGGCCGCCGCTGGTGGAAGTAGTCGAGGCTGGAAGGTGTTTTCCTGCCTGATGGCTGCTGTCAGAGACCACAGGCCACGCCCCCTCTGTCTCACACACACACACTCCAACAGAAACACACACACACACACTCTAACAGAAACACACACACACACACTCTAACAGAAACACACACACTCCAACAGAAACACACACACACACACACACACACACACACACTCTAACAGAAACACACACACACACACACACACACTCTGACTGACTCAGTGGGTTTCAGGTGATTTATTAATCGCGTCCTTTAGAGGAAACACGTTTCTGAGTCTGAACACTTTCATATCATAGAAGTACTCCGAGTGTACAAATACTGCGTCCCAGAACCAGAACCAGAACCAGAACCACAGCGTTAGGGTACATTAGGATCCGATGCTTTTGTCTCCAGATCTGTTTGAAAACTCTTTGACTCCTGAAACCTTTATTCTGTTTGTTCAAATGCAAAAAAAACCTCTTGTGATTGTTTTTTCCACATAGACCACATCGGACCAGATCCAGATCCACAGGCTCCACACATGGACTAGATCACACCACAGAGACCAGAGAGGCTTAGAACTTGGTTTCTGATGAACTGGATCTTTATTCTACTAACAAAATGCAGGTTCCTGTGCTTTTTAATACACAAACTCAGATCCACTCCAACAGGTTCAATCTCCTCCAGTTTGTCCTACAGAAGCTTTAAAACTCAATTTTAAAGTTTGTGAAACCTTCATTCTGTTTGTAAAACGGGAGATTTTATCATGTTTTTGCATGTGGACCACATAAACCAGGTCCAGATCCATAATCTCAGACTGAATCTCCACCAGTTTGTCCTTCAGAAGCTTTAGTTTGTGAAACCTTTGTTCTGTTTGTAAAAATGCAAAAACAGAGATTTTAATCTTTTATTTTTGCAGCTAGACCACAGTAGACCCGGTCCAGATCATGATGTATGAGGCGGTTAAATCAGCACCAGAACCTGCAGCAGAGTCTAAACAGGCTTTAAAACATTTTCAAATTCATCAAACATTTATTGTAGTTATCATAAGAAAGGAGATTTAACTGTTTCTGACCAGGTCCAGATCTGAAAACACTTCAGTGGGTCAGACTGATCGTCCCTGCAGGAGCTTTAAAACCCATTTGTTCAGTTTGTTCAAGACTTCACACATTTCCACTGAACCAGATAATCAGAGAGTCTGAAGAGTCGACTGAACAGTGTCTGATGTGTGAACCTTTATTAACTCCCTGCAGACTGAACAACACCTTCAGACTTCCTGGTCCGTCCTGCTGCGTGATGCGGCTTCATCCACGACCAGCTGGACGGGAACAGAACAGGAACCGAGCCGATACGACTTCCCTGCAGCACCACCGACCCGGTTACGTCCCGTCCGTCCAGAGTTTCACCAAAACGTGACGCCACATGAGACCCTTTTAAATGTTTCAGCCGTTTGAAATAAAGCTTTTGTTTTGTTTGTTTTCTCTGCAGGACTGAAAACGAACCAAACTGTGGACGGGCTGCACCGTTACAGAGCAGAGTACTGACTGGGTCGAACACTGGACTCCAAGCAGCAGGTTCTGGGCTTGTTTTTTGCAAATACATAAAAAAAAATTTGAAAATTCTTTTAAAAAAAGAAACAAATTATATAAAGTTAATAATAATAATAGTTATAATAAATTTTTAAAAATGGAAAACAAGTAATTTACATATAATAAAAAAATTTTAAATAGTAAAAAAAAAATAAGAATAGAATAAAATAAAACAAAATAGAGAAGAGAATAAAATTAAATTTCCCAAAATGTGAATAAAATCTCTTAAAAGATCAATTAAAATTCCCAAAATATTTATAAAATACCAAAAACTAAAGTTTCCTGTAAATATTGAGTCCAAATGGCCATTAAATTTTTATGAAAACGCAACTTTTTAAAACTAAAATAAACAAAAATAAAAATAAAACAATCAATGATTATTATTTTAATTATTTTATTTATGTGTCTTTATATTTCTAGTTTTATCAGCCTTTCGTTTTATGGATTCATTTTTGATTAACGTTGCTTTATATTGCCACATTTTTATATTTTATTTTATTTATTCTTCTTTTTATTTCTACCTTTATTTTCGTATCCGTTTATTGATTTATTTTTGTAATTTGGCGCTCTCACTACCCCATACCTCTGTTCACTGTTTCCGAGCCATTTTATCGATCCAGTTGGTTTAATCTAGTCTAAAAGTGTCCAAATGTATTTAAAACTTGTCCAGAACAACTCAAAACTCACCGAAAATGACATGAAACTTGTCCAGAGTGACGTAAAAATGTCCAAATGACCCAAGAATTGTCTGAAATTCTTCTTAAATCATTTAAACTCGCTAAAAATTATTTAAATTGTTCAATATGAGTTCTCTTTGAGCCTGTATGGACTATTTAAGTCCAAAATTCCTTGAAACTACTTCACAACGACTCACAGTTTGTTCAAAATTACATTTTTTTTAATGTCACTGCAGGTAAAGAAACAAAACATTCCTGGTTGATGCTTCAGAGTTGTAATAAACAGAATCGCTGCCGCCACATGAGGGCGCCAACGTTCAAGAAAACGTCCTCCATAAGAAAGAAATGTTTTATTTTTGAACAGTTTTAACTTCTTTTTTTTTTTTTTTAAGCTTTTCTCTATTTTGATAAATTAGAGATAATAATTCACAGATTAAAAGCATTAATTTACATACTGACTGTAAAAAAAAGTAAATAAATTAAACTTAAAAACTTCCCAAAACTGTAAATATTGTGGATACTAAACATTAATCAGCGCTTTTATAACATCTGACTATACATTTATTATATTTTAACTGTATTTAATTCTGCTTTTTTTTTTGTTTTACAGCTATTTCACATATTTTTCCTGTTTTGTTAAATTAAAGATAAAATCTATGGAATCATGTGGAGCAGTGAGAGCGCCAAATTAGAAAAA